CACTACCTCCTAAGGGTGTTCATTTTGGCACTTATTGACAAGATCAAACCTGTTGATAAAGTCCCAAAATGGTTTCATGTCCAGGTTGTTAGTACCCGAATTTGACCCTATACAATCTATATTGGGGTCAACGACGGCATTCCATTCCCCCACTACAACTGCCGACGAGATGACGCCAAGAACAGCTGAAACAAAGCAGACCACTCAAAATGCTTATTGGGGGCATAAACCCCAATGAGACGTAGAGCCTTATCCTTTATGGTAACATCCAGCACACAAAGTCTGCCCGCCGGATCTGCGAAGACAAGAGCACACACAGCCTTCAAAGACTTGCTCACCAGCCAAGAGATACCCCTCGAGTATCCATCAAAACATGCTGAATAGAGGGAAAACCCACTAGAAAGAATGCTCTCATGATCGCGAGAAGAAAAACGGGTTTCTTGCACACAACATACACCCACTCCGAGATGCTGAAGGTCACAATAGAGCCTCACCCTGCAAAACTCGGACCTCAGGCCTCGGACATTCAAAGTAGATAACCAGAGAGACATTATCAAACCGATTAGGGTTGCTTACCTGAATTAAACATGGACGGGGTCAGGATACCAACAGTCTCCCCCATCGACCCATCTCAGTCTTGATGGTGCAATCTTGGGAGAGACTGCCTATATCCCACGGGAAAGTGAACTTTAGTGTTCTATAGAGAGAAGGATGAACAAAAACAGGGACCCTTCCAGCACAAAATTGCTTCATTTTTTTTAATTTATCATTTTGAATGATAGCTATCGGTGGAGAAATCTTAAAGAGACTATTGCCTTATCAAGCATGGTCCATGCGTGGCGAGCCCCCATCCCAGTTCTAATTACTGTTAATACTCTATCAGTCTGTGGGGAAATTCTTAAGATCTTCGATGTCTCTGTCAGCATATTGCTTGACAGAGAGGAGATATTTCAAGTCTTTGATCCTATTTCCATAATCCCGGGCCTTTTCCACTTGTGATAGGGTAATGCGGCATACATCTTCCCCTGAGTTGCATATATGTTTAGGCATCTTTTTTCTATTGCCTTTTGAGTCCTGTGACGGACTTCTTTGTTTTTTGTTGAGAGGAGGGGGCATTTCGGGAGTTTTAATGGGGGAAGAACTGGAGTGTAGTGAGGTGTATAGGATTGTTTGCAAGGGCTGGTGTCTCTACTGAGGGATTGAGGGATGGGTAGAAGATTTTTCTGTTGAAAGTTGGGCAGAAGATGTAGAGTGACTTTTTTAACAGGGGAGGTCTTTTTATGACTGAGGTCCCTACAGAGAGGGGTTGAGGGAGGTGTTTATTGAGAATGTTGGGCAGAGGAGGTAGAGGGTGTTGCCTTTTTAGTTGGAGAGGTCTTTTGTTTATCCAATTTCTCTTTCCATTGTTTGATCTTCTGTTTTTTCAAAGGCTGGGTCGTATTTCTTCTGTAACTCTCTGAGGGTAGGTTAAGAGGCTGGGGCATCACCATTAATGTTGACAGAGGGAGTGGGACTGTCAGTGCCTTTCGTCACAGGGGCTTCATGGTACTGAGGACCCGCTATCCAGCGCTTCCCTCTGCCCTTGCCAGCAACCTGCCATTCCCCCTCTCCCTTCTCCACAACTGCACTAGCAGCAGGCGAAAGCTCTTTAGGGAATGGGGGCTTAGATGTTGACCCAACTGGGGATTTCTCCACTCCCGGAAACTGGCATGCCCATTACAGGCGAGGCGGTATTCAAAGACATGGACAGAGGGGGAGTTTGGTCAACTGGGTCCTGACTTCCAGAGGCCTTCCTCTCTGGGCAGGAAGAGGAGAGGTGACCAGTCTCTCCGCACTTCCAACACACCGTTTTGCAGCCAGTCACAATGACTGGCACCTTTAGGCTCCCAACATCAAGACAGTTGGGGATGGAGAGGAAGGCTTTTCGGTCTAACATGATGTCAAAACTCCATCCCCGGTCAAGCAATAGCAGGAAGCACCTAGTATTTCATCATACTGTAACAAGAAAGCTGCCAGGTGTTCCCCGATAATCTGAGGAGGGACCTTGTAACCTAGTCCTTCTCCTTCCTTCATACTTGGTTCACAGAATTATATCTTTTGTTATTATTTTTCTGTTTGTCGCTTTGACACAATCTTCAGGTGTGGGTAGCAATATGTCCCACATGAAAAAGCCCGAGCCCTTAACAATTCTTAGAGCTTAAACTCCTTTTAACCACTGTGTCTTTTGTCAAACAACAAATTTTGCCCATATGCTTGTCGACGATGTAGCCTGACACTATTCTTTTTTCGATCTTTAGTTCTATGGGGTCCTGCAAGAGCCCACCTTCCATGACAAGCTATGCGTAACTCTTGGCATGCTCCAAGAACTCCGCTATATTGATAATGCATTTTGGGTGGGAGTTCTAGCAACAGGGCGAATCCCCAGCCTCCGCATTATTTCTGGTCTTATTTTCTTTTTGGCCATTATTGGCCTCTGTATTTTTTAATGATGCTTTTTGGCTATTATTAGCCACCATACTTTTTTTGTTTTTTCTTGACAATTATTGGCCTCTATAACTTGGGTCTCTGCATCCTGGCCATTATTGGCCATCATACTCTTTTTAGTTTGGCCTCTCTTTTTTTTTATCCATTTTCAAAAGGAAGGGGAGGGGTGATGAACAGAAAAATGGTTACATTTTGTCTATAGGAAAAAAAAAACAGACAAATAAACTTAAACCAACAATGTTCTCAAGACAATAATGTACAAAAATAAACAGACGAGAAAAAATAAATAAAACAAGGTTCACTTTAACAGCAAGACATCAAAATTAATAATAACAATACAAATGAAAACTGAAAAAACAAATGTCAACAGACAAGAAAAATTAAAACAATAAACAACATTCGTCCATAAGCAAGACTACAAATCAAAAAAACAAAAAACACAAAACAGGACATACAAAAAGTTTAGACAAACAAAGAAACAAGGTTCACCTAAAGGCAAAACAAAGTAACACGTAATAATAAACAAAGAAAAATAAAGTCGAACAGAAAACGTAGAAAGAAAAATAAACAGATAAACTCTGAGAAGGTAGTACGGGAAGAAAATAAATTTAAAAAAGGAAAAATAAAACAAAAGAGAGAATCAAAAAGTTAAATAAAAGAATAATAGCAAAATAAAGTAAAAATAAAAATGGGGAGGGTAAGGATTTGAAAAGGAAAAAATCAAAACTTTACAAAACAGTCAAAACGAATGCAAGAAAAACGGTAAAAATAAATCAAAACTTAACAGAATAACAGCAGTAAATGGTTCAAATGATTCTCAGAGTGACAGAATAAAGGTCTAACAAAGGCAGATCTGGACTGAGTCATCTAAAAATGCAAGCCATCTCATTTTATTGGCTAAGAAAAATATCCCAGCATGCATTCTGTGTCCTTCTGACTGGGGGGAGGGGTAAATTTTTGCAATCATTCCCATTTCATTGGGAAATCAACACAGCTTTAAAGTGTTAATATAAATATGAAGATGACATCTGTATTTGTATAGAAAAACAAAAAGCATATTACTAATAGAGCTAAGTAAATATAAGCAGTGGAAAAAGGCTTTACAACTCTTATGATGGATTAAATAAATCCTTTATATAGCATTGATATTTAATTGCTATAGAATGACCAAAGCCAGTAGTGAAATTATCATGGCAGATTTTTTTATTAAAATATACTGTATTTTGCTGCTTATAAGATGCATGTTTTTTTTCCTATGAAATATATCACAAAACCACCCTATGTTCTATAAATTCATGGTCGGTGACAGGATTTATAAGTTTGGGTGTGGAGTGAACATCCTCAGTTATATTCGATTTTGAGCCCTTGAAAATAAAACAAGTCCAGCATTTCAAAATCAAATTAACAACATTTTCAGATTAGCTATTTATGCAGTTGTGATAGTGGGATATTGACAGGAAATTAAATTTCTGCTTAATTAAACCTTCCTCATTTCTTAAACTACTGGCCACAAAGCGACATCATTTATAGTAGACACTTTAAAGATAATACTACTGCTTACTATGCTTTCATTAGCACATGCTGGATATTTTCACTTGATCCTACTTATGGTACTTAATGGTGTCAAATATTGCCAAGCATATACAGTATCCACCAACAGCTGAAACAACCATTTTTGTTTATCGTCACTGATAATGACGCATTGATATGTGCTCTGAGATCTTCACTATATAGAGTTGTGTCAATGTTAACGATGCTATACAAACATGCCTCTCATAACCAAAACAATGTTTTCTTCACATGTTGAATGGTGTCTGTGGCTGTACTGTTAGTGTTTTAAGTTTTGACCAAATCATAAATCAAACCTAATTTTATGAGAACATTACTTTCAGTAAATTTTACACTGTAAGCTTAGTAAGGAGGATTTCAAGCTATAATATCAGTATAAGGATTCAGTAGTATGGTAAGCACTATTGTATGTTTCAATCAACACATAAATCAAACATATTTCTATATCCAAATTTACATGTATCTAATTTAAAAGTGTTCCTGTTTTGTGACAATATTTACTCATACATGAGACAATGAAAAATGTTTAATGCTTTTGCTATTTGACTGCCAGGTGTTTTTAAGAAAAAACAAGAATTGTCATCTTAGAATTCAGATTATCAACTCACTGAAAAATAAAATCTGTATAATTTAGGAAAGAGGAATAAACGATGTATCAGTTGCACTTGTAACTCATATGAAAACATTTTTCTTGAATTCATGCATATGTATGGAACAATCTTGTTAGTTCTTTTGAAACAATATCATTCTTACAGTAAATATTAAAAGGTATCCAATACATAATTTCAGTAACAGCTAAAACACATTAACTTTATTAACTTTAATGAAATGTGTATATGTAAGCATTAGAAAAGGTTTATTAAAAAAAACTCAAAGCAAATTAGTACTAATTTTTAGAAATAAGATAATGTCAAAGATAAAAGTTTTTTAATCCCACGTTTACTTACCAAATCCTCAGCAATAAACATGACATCTTTATTGTCTTTGTATTCCAATCTGCTTGTCAAAAATTAAGAAAAACAGTTACTCAATAAAAGCATCTAATAACAATATTTTAAACAAGAATCAATATATCTAATATTGCACAAATTCACTTACACTTCAAAATTATTACTTCATTTGCATAGCCTGTAAAAGAATCTTAAAGGTTTTTTAATCTAAAACAAAAAAGGGATGGAAAATTTTTCTAAAATTCTGTTTAGATTCAATTTTTATTAAGAAAATATAGCTTTATAAATATAATTCAAAATATAATTTTACAAACAAACCCTTCAATCATTTTAAGTTAAACTTTTTGCTTCTTACTTTCTCTCTAACTGTAGTGTGAGTGGATGAGTTCTACTGCTGCCATTTTTACCCTTGAATATGTCATATTTTTGTTTTCTACCCTCACCTTCAACCAATTCTTTGGAAAGGTGAATTTGTAGCTTCTGGTGTAAATCAACAAAATTAAAAAAATTTTAAACATCTGATGGCATCTGCCAAATGCAAGAATTTTAGTGACTCTCATAAAAGACAATTTTTCTATTTCATTCAATGAGTTTAGAAAATGTAATCCCATTTCATATTAACATATTTAAAGAAAAAAAATTCAATAAACTTATTGTGTCACTGATAGATTACTAACCAAAAATTATAATAGTAATATTACGCAATATAACTAATTATCTGTGCAGTAGACATAGAATGATTAGAGGTAATCTGACTGAAAATTTCTAAATATTCTGGTTTGGCTAAAATTTCAGTTTGTCATTTTGGTTCTTTTCCATAACTGAAGAATTATTTTTAAGAGACAAATGAAAAAAAAAATTTAAAAAAATAAAAAAAAGTTAAATTACCATATTTATACTCAGCACTAATGTGTGTATGATTTTTTTCCTAAAAAAGAATTTAATCTTTCTACAAATTCATGAAAATTAGCCAATAAATATATCTAAACCATATTATGCATACACACATACACACAGTTCACACATTCCAAAATATTTTTTTCCACAAAGTCATCTGATCTTTTCATAAGTATTCCTTCCAGTTAGCTGTTATGCATCAAGTATGCTTATCTATTATATTCACTTATGTGCTAATACCCTTGGGAAAGGTATGAATCCTCTTCTCCCCCCTCCCCAAGCTATGCATAAATAGCAGGACAGACAAGTTGCCTTGGATGGCAACTGGTCTACTGCAAAAAGAAATGGCAACCTACTGCGGGAATAAATCTGCCTTGTCAATCATGTATCAAAAGATTCATGATCGCCTAAGTGTGGCACGTAACTGACTGACGCTAAAGAAATAAGTAATTATTTAAAAAATACAACAACTCATCTGCTTACAATTACAAAACCTAGTTTCCTGTAAAAGTTCAAGAGTTATTTTATATTAATATATAGCAGCCATCAAGAATTGAAAATAGATTCTTCACAAAAAAGGACCATTTTATTTGTGTTGAAGTTTTAAGTGAAATTACAAAATATTACATCTATTAATGATGATTGCAGCAGTGAGTGTGTGTGGAGAGAAGTAATTTTTATGAAATTGCTATCATAAATTTTAAAAAGCAGCACTTCTTAATTTTCTGAAAAGACAAGATGTTCCTTCTTCAGCAATTTAAGCAATATAGATAAAGGAATATATCACTTGTCACCACAAATGCACATATCTATTAAAACTATTTATAAATACTTTTGCAATAATTCTTAGTCATTTCTGATTTAATTGTATTTGAAAAGCATACAAAAGATAAATGATAACTTACATTCCCAATTTCTCAAAAGTAGCTGCATTTGGTTTTCTAAGGTTGTTAACAAACAACTCAAGTTTAAAAGAGGAGGGATTAGTTGCTCTGTCAAATAGAAAAAGAAATTCAGATTTATAAGAAATGCACTGAAATTTAAAATGATACATTTTTTTTAAAAATAAATAAAGATACTGTTGAAGTAACAAAGGTTAATTTTCTAGTTAACTATGTACAAAAAGCATTTTTTAATTTTCTTTACAACATTCAAAGACAAGTATACTCTAAACAGTGTAATGAAGTATTAGCCTTTTAAAAATATTAGAATGCTAAAAATTATTTACTTTTGGAGGTACTAAAAGAAAAGTAAGTTATAGACGACACAAAATGAACTGTAGAATTAATTTTTCTATATAGTGATTAATCAGTAAGAGGTAACGATTTAACCGAAAATTATTTAAATCTTCATATTCATACTTTGGCAAACAAGGACCTTCCTGCTTACAAAAAAATGGTGTTTCCAAAAGGAAATACTGCTATTATTTTAATTATGTTCATCTCCTTGGCAGTGTTTATATTCAAAATTAAAAAATTATTTACCTTTTATTATTTACTATTTTATGAAAAAATAAATGGGAAAAGAAATATTTTTATTCCAAAATTATATATATATAAAATAAAAATATCAAAAATTTTAAAAATATATGAACCATTTAAAATTCAAGTTTTAAAACATCAACTAATTGCCAATTTTACATACCTTTACTTGCTTGACAATGTTGTTTTAAAAAGCAATGATTAAAATTTTAATAAAACCCAAAAATATAAAATTAAAACAAGAAGTAATCAGGGATATAAAATAATCTGAGAAGAAAATGTATTATGTCTAGAAAATCATGTTTATTCAAATTTTGTTTTATAATTCATTGATATATTTTTATAAAATAATGAATAAAAAAAAAACTTGTTTTCATAGTTATTTATAAAATGGTAAATAATAAATATTGCATTGTAATTGGTTTACATAATTTGATAATTTTTTAAATTTGATCCATCAAAACAACAGATCCACAATAAAATACAAACCCAACCATTTACTATCGGATTCTATATGTTCAAGTTACAGAGAAATATTCTATATCTTATGAAACAAAATTCAGTTGAAATGCTACCAACCCAAGTCTTGTACCACCAGGTACTTCAGCTTGAACTTTGGTACCAAGAGGAACGATATGGACTTCATGAAGAACTGCTGGTCGTGGAAACTTTACTAAATCCAAGTTGAGCTCCTTTAAAAAATAGAAAAAAATGTTGATTGTCATATCTTTATAATTAATTTACAAAGACTCTGTATTGATATAGAAAAGGTCTGAATAGAATCAAAGTTTTACAAATATGGACTGAAAAACTTCAAGCTCATTGAGAAAAAAAAATTATGAATCAAGTTTTTTTTCTTCTTTACACACTCATATATAATTGAAATAGTTAAAAACCACGAAATATTTGATTATTCAGTTTTTGTTTAATGATGCAGATTTTGAGATTTTGGGGGAAATAAATTGCATTTCAGTACAGTCACCTTAAATGCTGTGTAAACACATGATGGAAACTAAGAATTTGTAACTTTATAAGTCAATTGATTCAGGTTAATACATCTGCTAATTTAAAAGCTTCACAAATTTTCTTTGGAAAATTCATTTCAGTTAAAATATTTTAATGTATGATCAAAAGTATAAAAAGATTGTTATAAAGAAAGAAATGCAGTTTATAAATGTTGCTAAAAAAAATAATAAGTGAAAAATATGAAAGTTTTATATAGTTACACATTAAGGATCAATGTTTCTGTGAATGTACAAACCTATGAAATATTTGATAAAATACATTCGATGTTGAAACTGATAGATTACACATTTTCTTAAAAAATTTAGAGTTCAGATTTTTCTGGCCTTTTTACTGTTGAAAAAAATAAAATCATTAGCAAAAAAACTATGAAAAAACAGAAACATGAGGTAATTAGCTCAAGCCAACCAGATACAATAGACAATCTTATAAAATGCCCTGAGCTATAGTAAAATCATTCATGATCTTTTAAAAAATTATAATAAAATGGTCTTATAACATGTCAACCCTTGTTGGATTATTTAATGTCAAAGTCAGGTTGTTTTTTTCAAGCAATTATAGTTTCAAGTAACTAATCAAAATACAAATAACTGGCACTCTCTGATACAGTTTCAAGTATTCTGATACTAATAATTTGTAGTTTCAAGTATTTCAAGCAATGATATGGTCTTAAGTAACTATTAAACCTTTGTCATCAATTATAGCTTCAAGTAACTTATTAATTTGTACACAGTTCTATGGTCTGTTCTAGTAGCCTGTTGAGTTCATTTTCGTTTATGTTGTTGTGTGGTGGACTATATATAGAGCAAATGTTAACTGTTCTATGTAGAGTTACTTTAACAAAAATTGCTTGTAGGCTAGTTTTACCATTAATTTTGTTTGAGGCATATTGTTTCTAATTAGGATTGATACACCTCCTGAAGCCAGTAACATATATGTAATTGTACTTTTTGATATTATCATCTTGTTTAAGTAATCTCTCTTGAAGACAAACCATTGTGGGATATATCTGTTATAAAGTGAAGTAGTTCATTAATGTTGGATTTTTGCCCATGACAGTTCTATTAGTTGATTTTATGGGCCATAATAAAATAAAGTATAGGAGTTATTTATTGGGAGATTTTGTATTTGGCTGATTTTTTTTTTTTTTTTTTTTTTTTTGGTGGGAGATTGTATTCTATTTCCATTTTTTTACAAGTATGTTGAAACAGTTTTGTTGATTTCAGAATATCTTTGGAATTTGTGGCTTCTATTAGAGTTCTTTTTCTTTGAGAAGTCATTGGCATGGTTTATTTTGAGATTTTTGGTTAAGTTCTTTGAGGACCTATATTTTGGAGTCAATGAAAAGGAAGATCCTCCAGTAGAAGTGAGTGGTCAAATTGAAGATGCCATTTGTGGAGAGTTTTGATTTGATTGCGGTTTTGAGGGGAAAGATTATCTTCCATTTCCAAATATTTTGAAATGATATTTTCCAGATTATCTTTGCGAGTTTGTTTCTTCGCTTTGTTGTATCATTTGACTTGAGTGGGGGTCATTAGCTTGGTTTAGTTTTAGATCATTGGTAGTTCTTGTTTTCCTTAATATTTCAGTATAAAAGGGTGGTCAGATTGGAGATCTTTGTGACCTCTTTGTAGGACTTTCAAATAATAGGTGATTGGGGGGGGGGCATATGTGAAGGGTTTCTTGGTTCACAAAGTGTTAGTGGCATATTTCATTCATTTATATGTTTGCAATATTTTGCTTTGCTGGAATGGTTTGTGCTTTTTCCATATAGGTCTGGTGTGGATCTGATGGTATTTGGATTAGGAGTGAGTAAATTAATGTGTTCTTGTGCAGGTTAGTGATATGGCTTGGCATAACTAGCCAACTGACAGCTTAGACCAAAGTGGAGTATCACAATTCTCATATCCTCTCAATCTCCAGGATCACGGACCACTCAACCACCAAAATCCTATCCTGAGGCATCTTGGATCACTAACCATAATCAATAGGTGGTTCCTTTTACAGTTCCTTTTTGTCATACCCCTCTAAAGGGGATGCAGTTGATGTAGACTAGGACCCGCCAACACAGCAGATGTAGAGTTCAGATTATTGGGTATTTTATAAACAGAATTATCTTGCCATATTATTTAGTACTGAAGGATATATATTTTATTCTTTACATGTGAATAATTAAAAAGCAAACAAAATGAACAAAGCAAGGAATTGGCACAAAAATGAATTACCAATCTTATAGAAAATCCTTTATTTTCCCTTTTTTATGGTAGATAATAACATTACAACATCTTACAATAATTTGGTTTGAAAAAAGAATGAGTTTACAATTAAATGTCAAGATGAAATTTTAATAATGTTAATTTATAATTAATATCATAGGAGAAAAAGTTTTAATAGAAATAATGTGTCAAAATAACTTGTTTTATGTCAGTGAAATTTTATGATTCCACTATTTTCAAGAAATGTATTAATTTACCTTCTTTCCTTTCACTAACAGCTCCCAGTCATAAAATGATAAGCAATAAATCTCAGACCATTGTAAGCACAACATGAATATACCATTAAATTAATTGATAAAAGAAAATATAAATAATTGAAATACAAGACAATGCAAAAACTAAAATATATTTTTTAATTCCACACCAGAAATTTTGTTTAAATATTTCTATGTTGAGTTTGTAACACTAATATGGTTAATTTTCATTACTGATTAGTGATTACAACTTTTTGAAGTATACATAAAGTAGCCAATCAAAGAGCAGTACTCTGCAGAGAAAGTGAAGAAAAAAATATTCTTTCAAGTTAGGATTTTCTCTTAAGGAAATTGTTGCTAAATTATTGAGCTTAAGATGTAATATTAGAATTTAACTTAACCAGAGTAATGTACATTTAGTTGAGCTCATCTGATGAATTATTTTAGCTAAGTCTGCAGTTGTCAATTCTATTGTCATTTTTTTGTTGTCAAATTTTAACAACTTGTGGTAGGAAATAAAAAAAAAAAAAAGAACCCCGGAAAAAAAAAAAAAAAGCGCTTGCTTTATACAGCCGAGGACCAACTATAATTTGCATGCGAATGATGAGACAATGAGATTTCGTGTTAACTGTCCGAAACCACCTGGCATAAAACATGGGTGCTGCCATTTTGGTTCTTTTTACCGCTGAGCAGCTGGATTTTGCACGACACACAGATTTGTAGGTGTTTCCGAGGTAAGCCGTTTTCACAATTTTCCCAACACAACTCAAGTACAACAAGCAAAGTATTTGCTAATAAGTCAAAATAAACTTTCTTAATATTACCTTGAATTTATCATTTTTGAATTCTATTGAAAAGAACACTTTGAGATAAACAGAAAAGCTAGTACAAAGCAACTTAAATGATCATATAGTTATGCATAATCATCTACATAATAAATACAAAAATCTGTGTCACACTTTTTCAATTAAAGGGATACATCTAACTTTTAAATATCTCATCTTCTTCAAATGAGACTTGCTCATCCAGGATTGGAATTGAATCCTCAGATTGAAAATGTAGCTCTGTGAAATTGAAGACAAAGTAATGAACTTGGCACAAAGAGATCTCAGAAATTTTGGTCTGCCAAATCCAGACAAATTTTGAGAGAAACAGGATACAACATGGAAGAACTGCAGCAATGTGTTCACAACAATGAGCCTCTGTTGAACTAAGACCAACAGCAAGTTTATCAAAATGTCCTTGATGACGTCAGCAACAACAATGGAAGGATTTTCTTCTTGGATACACCTGGAGGTACTGGTAAAACTTTTGTAACTAACCTTCTTTTATCTGCAGTGAGACTCCAAAGAAAAATAGCTCTAGCAGTCGCATTATCTGGAATTGCTGTTACCCTCTTACCTGGAGGGTCTACAAGCACACAGCACCTTCAAAAATTCCATTGGATTTGAACTACAATGAAACTCCTATTTGCAAAATCAAAAAAGGAACCAACTTGGCTAAGCTACTGGAGGAGACAAGCTTCATTGTCTTCATTGTACCATGACACACAAGTAGCAAGCATTTAAGGCCTTGGACAAAACACTCAAAGACATTAGACAGAATTCGCAAATCATGGGAGATATCATTGTGCTACTCTCTGGTGATTTTAGACATTGCAAGAGGAACTCCATCTGATGAAATCAATGCTTGCCTGAAAAATTCTTACATCTGGAGCCATGTTCAAAGACTAAGCCTGAAAACAAACATGAGATTTAGAATCACAGGTGACCTTGAAGTAGGAAGATTTGCAGCTTTGCTGTTGCAGCTTGGTGATGGAACCACTGAAATGAAGCAAAATGGAGATATTTCACTCCCAAATGGTTGTGCAGTTTCATTCTCAAGTAACCAAGACTTGAGTAACCATGTTTATCCAAACATTAAACACCATTTCATGGATTCAAATTGGCTTTGTGAGAGGGCCATATTAGCTTGCAAGAATCAGACTGTGGATTGCATCAACTGGAAACTTCACTAAGCAACTCCAAAAGAAAGCACAAAGTACTTTTCCAATGACACTGTGGTTGAACAAAAGCAGGCAGTGAATTATCCACTAGAATTTCTGAATTCATTGAATTTTCTTGAAATGCCATCACACAAAAAGAAAATGTATCACTTAATGCTATTGAGAAATCTGGATCCTCCAAAGTTTGTAATGGA